GTCGTATTTTATGACCACCTGACCTGAGCGTAAAGTTTCACGAGTAAAAAACTAAATCGTCAGCTGTACGCCTTAACGGCGCTTCGCTGCCGTCTCACGAGTGCTAACGTGGGGTCTAACGATTTCTCGGCGTATGCCTGTTTAGGTAACGCGGGAATTGTAAAGGTGCTGGATCAGATTCACGGGGTCCTGTGGGACAAATTCTTCCGTAGGTACTTCCGCTAGAGAAAGCCAACTGACGGCATCAGCAGTGGTATTGTGCCGACTAGGGACGTTGCATTTTATATGTGTATGCAGAGAGAATCAAGACGCAACGGACCATTCTGTGTGAGGCCATTTGTTGAATCCCTTTTTCATGGCCAAAATATGCTATAAGTGGTTTACTATATGTGTAAGTCACGAAAAGTCGATCGAGTAGGTATTGTTGAAACCGAATAGTGCCTGAAAGTGGGATAATGCCGCACTCCTTCCACTGTTGATGGTTACGCCAAATGACTATGATTTTCCATATCGCCTTGTATTGTTAGAAGTTGTCTAAAAGGCATGGAATCGGGCGACATTACGGTGTTTCATTAACTCTCTTAACATCCGGAGTCGATTCTACTCATTACTATTGCTTCTTCTACATCGTACTCTCCTTGTTCCTAGCTTCTTTTTCATTGGTGATCGGAACGTTAAACGTCTCATCGTGGACTGCGAAGCATATGTACTCAGTGGTCAACCTGATTACTTGATGCCATGAAACGTGACGTTCGGATATCCACCGATCTCACTAGACGCGAGGCAGCCCTTTTATACCCAGTTATCTTTTCACCGGAATACCCCTATCTGCGTTGCCTGTACGATAAACATGGCTCGCACCTAGTCCCCTCTGCCGACACGGTGTGTTTGATGTCTTGGGTTAGTTACCCCAGCCCACTCACCCAATCAGTCTCTCAGTCTGTATCTTTGTCCCACTTTCCATTGACTAAGTGACGCTACGTGTTCACCCCTGCCTTCGCTTGATTTCCCCACCTCGTTACGTGGGTGACTTGTTGCTGCGCTGTCCGGTCTACTGGAGAACGGACGTTATTTCAGCTCGTTGGTTGGTGGTTTTCAGTCTGGCTATTCGCTGTGCTTTCAAGTTGTTTCCCTTTTACTCCTACTATCGTCGTAGAATCTACCCTCACCGCGTTGACTGTGATTTGAATTAGCGTGATGTCACTGATTAAATCGGCACACTTCTAATTGTGCTTATACTCTACTTTCAATTATTTTCTTTGACTGATTGCTTCACTGTCATGACAAAGTCACCCTGATTCTTGCTTCCATCCCCTCTTATTCTCCGTTTCGCCCTGGTGCGATCAGTGTCATTGTGCGGATCAGATGCATATCAAAGTCATTAGAATGTTAATGCCGTTCAACCACCAGTGTGTTTGCTGCTTGATGCTCGTACTTGGTGAGGCAACCGAGTTCGTGATACGGATGCTCCAGTGACCCGCACTCGAATCACGCTGGTTCGGTGACATCTTTTACACACCTGTGGATAAACTGTCTGAAGAAGAAGAAAAAATCATCAGCAGTACGCCTGCACACTGTACCGACGCTTCGCTGCCACGCGACCACCACCTGGTCGCGTGTGTGCTGAGTATTCCGCGAAGACGCCCACCCCTACGCGGATTCGAACTTTTGTCCTGAGGATCGCAAGCTGGGCTTGCAATCCTTTCAGCCACTGGCCAACGATGAAATGTCTCCGTATGTGGGGTTCACTCTACTGATGTGCTGATTTGGAAGAAACCCCCAGGTGATATGGCCAAATGGCGCGAAGGAACCTACGGGTCGGTGCGCGTTGTCTGGTTGACTGGAGTTCTCGAGATCGGCCAACTCAGTTGTCTTCAGCGCTGTTGTACCTCTTACCTCTTTCTTGATTACACCAGTTGGCTTTTTCAGTTTTTCACAAATTCCTTCTGAATGATCATAATGATAAATGCAATGTTCGTTCAGCGTAAGCTAACTGGATGTCAACATAGCTGAAGTGGGTTGAGTATCAAGTTTTCTTATCTTATGTCCGTATTTGGTCGACGAATTTTCTACTTATAACAGCGCTGACGGATAACTGTTGTTCGCTGATCCTGCTTGTAACTCAACAGTAGGCATTTTTCCACTCCTGTTGACTATCCCTATCAAAATGGAGGTTTAACTAATCGTCAGTGATCTCTCGGCTCTGAAGCTTCTTCAACGGACCCTATGTTTTTCGTTTGGAGGTTGTGACCAATTCGGTGCTTCTTTTACCCGTGAACTTTCTTCATTCTTGTCGCCTAGGTTTGGGTACCTTTGAAATCTTTCATTTGCCATATACATCCATAGTCATTGCATCAAATTCTCATCCTCTATGAGCTTTCGAGTGTTTTCGAATAGGCGTCATCAACTACCTACTATTAGGCACGTGAACAAAGTGGGCTACTAATGATATCTGCTTTCCCATCAATGAGAATTGAGGCTAGCAATTTTGCCACCACCGACAGTGAGACATGGATATGGCCTCTTCATTCCGTACAGAAAGTCAAGGCTTCGCAGAGGACCTCACCACTATCTTTATATATCGGGTGTGAGGGGATCCGGCCCAACGACACGAATGCGATTAGGGGCTGCGATTGCATTTTGGACCTCAACCTCCGGCTGAGCCTTTAAACTAACCTTTCATGGATCGGCCTGCATTACCTGAGTAAGAAGAGGTTCGGAAACAGGGAGCCGAATGCACTACACAACGAACCAACCGGTGCTCCTTATTGTGAATCAGTGCATCCTCGTTGTCTGATTGTCCCACTGGCAACAGGTTTTCTGCAACCAATTGTGCGAATCATTTGGAAGAGTTTGCGACGACCGCCGACTGCTCCCGCCTCCACCCCTTTTTGAGCCTTGCTGGTCCACCAGGTTTCCTTGTCAGCACGCAGCGTCTGCTTTGCCTTGCTTCCAACTGTCCGTCTGGTTATATTGTGCTCAGAGCCAGCTGCGAGTTTTCTTCTGCATTCCAACTGGTTCACCGACCTCTCGGATATCCGATGACTGGTATAGTGACGATTAGTAATGTCGCAAGCAATCTCTCGCATCGTGCATAAAGACCGAGGTTCTATCCCACTGAACCTCGGTGTTCTTACGGTGATATGGTAAAAGTTGGGTAATTAGTGCATGTCGGTGGAATTACTTGACTGAGGGATGGGACAACCTCTCAGTCGCCACTCGAGTGCACTTTCCGGTAAAGTTAATGAAAAAACGTTTGGCTATCAAAAGCATGACCAGAATCCACGCACGTATTCCGGAACCAGCGACAGTCGGGAATGAAACCACGACATCTGTAACTTTCACAACCTGCTGTATTTGGGCACATCGCAGGTCAGCCATCGGACGCCATTTTGCACATCGGTGCCCACTATCCATGAATGTGGTGTTTCTAGCAGCCGGTGTTTTATACGTGGTTGCAATGGACGCCGCCGCTGCCCCCTTGGTCAGAGTTGAGCCCATCCAGCCGAGCTCCTGAAAATTCATCCATATTACCCGCAAAAGCAGCCATATCTGCACAGGCGACAATGTGGCGCAGTGTGTTCACTTCGTGATAGAAAGCGTCCTTGGCAACGTAAGATGCAACCAGAAACAAACACCATTTTGTACTATTTTGGAAATCAAACAGACTGCAGTTAGACGAAAGCTCACGAGAATCTAATCAACGAATCATGACCCAGTCCCGGAGCTGAGAACGATGCCCACCGCCGCTTGACTTGTGGCTGCCGCATCAGCATCTCCGAATATGTATAGTAAATAGCGAGTGGGCAAGTCTAGCCTCTGGTGGTCGATGCGGGAAGATAATTGCAGATGTTAAAACTAGTGGCATTGTAGTTACTATCCATTTGACTGGGAATTGCAGAAGGACGGTTAGCGATGGGTGTCGGGAGATGAGTAGGCGAAACTGGTGGAAAAGAAAGAAAGGGGCTCCAGAAGTGGCATGTTTTCGCTTATCCACCTTTGTGTTTACAGCAGATAAGGCGACCCTTGTAAAGCTGCACGACGGCCAATACCTGATGTTAAAGGCTGGGGAAATGTTCATGGTTTTACGTGGGCCAGGGCGCCGACACTTAGTCAGTGGTACCATTAGGGTTCTCAGCCAAAGCCTTCGACTCAAAAGCCTGTCTGCAGGGCAATATGGGCAAGCACTTGCTTTCATAGAATCAGACGCCATCCCATTTCAAGCCACTAGGAGACAGTTTGTTTGTCCGCTAACCATTGATCAACGGGGTAGGAGTATCTCTCTAGGTGCCCTGGGCACCACCCAATATAGCTCAATGAGCTTAAGAGATACTCAGCTCGTCCCACTTCGTTAAGACCCGTTCTTGTTGCGACGGGGATTGGCCGCGTGCGATTTCATGTATTTCGCTCTTATCAATTACGAGACTTAGCTCCGCTCGGGTATCAGTAGTTCATCTTCAATGATGGGATACCCTCACATTTGTCGGGCCGCAAAGTTGTGTGTTGGTTGGCTTTGTTACGTTAGTTCGGACATTTGCTGCTTTTCACTGCTTACCGATTGGGCTGTACTGTTATCCAGTTGTGTTTTAGCCTATTATTGGAGGCAAGCAATCATCAGCCTAATTGCGTGATACGAAGCCGCTATGTTAGGTGCTGCTGGTCCGTTTCACTGTACCAAGCTATTCACGCGGTCGTTTGAGTTACGCTTTAGTCCGGTTTCGGCATTTACTTTGTCAACGCAAATTTTCTTTGCTCATCTTATGCATCGACCTCCTCCTCCTCCTGTGTTACTAACTCAACACTTGAAGTGTCCCGCGCAAACTGTGGATCGACAGGCTCTGTTGTAATCTCTTAATTCTCGGTTGCTTTTACGTAGACGTACTGTACAGTGTTAGAAGACGTTTATCACTAATCTCACCTTTTTAATCATAGCGCCATCGGCTTTTGTCTCTCTTAAGTGCCTTCACTTATGCTGCTTATTCCTTAACTCATTTTTACAGGCCTGCTTACAATTAGCTCATGAAGAACTTTGCAAAACACTTAAATTAGTCAAATCTTCAGCGACCTTCCCGGTTTCGGATGACATGGCTTGCTCTGATGAGTTGGTCCGAGAACTGAGGTGGTTTCTGTTGCCAGTTGAAGCGGCTGCCCAGATCCGTGATGAGCTTAGTGAGTTCGCCTCGTAACATTTTCCTGAGGATTTGTTTACGCGTATTTGATAAATAGCACTTGTTTGTTTCTCCCTACTTTGTATTTGCTATCATTTTAGTCACTACACCTACTCTCCGCTGTTTTTGTGCCGGTTTGTTGGGTCAGATACAAATTTCCATTTACACCTGAATCAGTGGCAGAAAGTTGCGGCACCTCGAATTTTGCCCATTTCTTGATGTCTAGTATCTTCATATATCCAGCGCTCATTGGCCGTGGCTCTCAACCATACTGCAATCCTGCTCTCCATGTAGGGGTACATGGGTCATTCTTGGCTATTTTCTCATCGTTTCGTAAGGTTATTGAGACTTCCGGTGGTCTCAGTGGTTTAACTACTAGTGCCGGTGCCCAATAGGATAAGGCATCTGTCTTGTAATGTATGAGTCACTAAGTTGAATCTGCGTAGGTGCAGGCGGATTTGCTCTGTGCCCAGCCCACGTGCGACTGGTGGTGGTGGTGACATGTAGCAGTGAAGCGTCGGAACGATGTGCTGGCGCGCTGCTTTTATGTAGCTAGGTGACGCGGTAGGCTGCTAACGTGAATACGACAACCATTAGTTTACTGACCTTGTCTTTCAACTTTGTATTGCGCCTCAGACAGGCCGAACTCGTTCCGAAGCGCCTATCACCCATTTCTACCTGATCCACCAGATCCCCTTAGAGCAAATGTGTCAAACTGAGGACTTCTTATCGGCCGCACGAATCCCAATGGTTATCACGAGGGCCGCATTCGATAACATATTGAAATATGATTGGCGGCATCTAATAGTGGATTTACCTGTCACTGTGGCCTCCACGGGGACAGTCACGGGACGCCTGCGCCTACAGAGCGACCATGGATGGCTTGCACTGCACCACCCACAGCTCCAACCATACACCCCATATCCAGTATAAACCCGAAGGAATAAGACCGGGAGGCATATGGATGGAGCGACGTTTCATCAACGGAGCCGGCCTACACACCTACAACATACACAGTATCAGCATTCCTGTCTATCATGCGTACTAGACATACACAAGGCGGTGGCAATGACGTAGTCCGCTCCGCACTGGGTGATACCACTCACGCTCACGAAGACCGTGCGCGTCCCCGTCCCTCCAGCAACGATTAGCAGTCTCCTGGAGCCAGTAATCGAGATAGAGGGTGTTAAACATGTAGGTACTTTGTCAACATGCACATCAAGCGCAGCCACACCGTGGATATCAAACAACCAACACATTGTCGAAAATAAACTCGCGAAATTGTTATAAATATATATATATATATATATATATATATATATATATATATATGATTGGCGGCATCCGGTTTCGGATTTGCCTGTCACTGTGGCCAGCCACAGGACGCCTGCGCCTACAGAGCGACCATGGATGGCTTGCACTGCACCACCCACAGCTCCAACCACACACCCCATATCCAGTGTAAACCCGAAGGAATAAGACCGGGAGGCATGTGGATGGAGCGACGTTTCATCAACGGAGCCGGCCCACACTCCTTCACAGACAAACACAAGCACGCTGTATTTGGGGAATCAAGTGCACACAAGGCGGTGGTTGGACCGTAGTCCGCTCCACACTGAGTGCATGGAACCACTCTTCGAGCCTAGCACGACCACATGGACCGTGCACCCCGTCCCCTCCAGCAACGACCAACTGTCTCCTGGAGCCAGTATGGACGAGGTAGTGGGTAATAGACAGATAGGCACCTTGTCAACATGCACATCAAGCGCAGCCACACTTGGGATGTCAAACAACAGCCAATCATTCGAAATGCCGATATCGATTAAAGTAAACGCATATGACGACATAAATACTCGCTAAATGAGCATATAGAAGAAAATGGTTATAAGTGAATCCGTGATAAGTACAAAATGTCCGAAAGTTATTTAAAATATACCACGCGATAAAATTCCGCAACTTTACCACAAGTTGCGTGAGAGACGTGTGCAAGTAAGGAGAAGATTATCAAGTACGCAGAACAAACCAAATAACATATAACGAGTTTTATCCATATTAAAAAGACCTAGTTCAAGTGCATGTTGGTTTAACCCAACTGCGGTGAAGAAGCGTCATGAATGCAACATATATATATATATATATATATATATATATATATATATATATATATATAGTGCCCCATACTGATGCTAATGTTGCGTTCATGATGCTTCCTCACCGCAGTTAGGCTAAACCAACTTCACTTAAAGTAGGTCTTTTTAAGCTGGATAAATTTCATTCCACGCGCAAGACTTACTTAGCAGTGCAATGGAAAGTATTCGTTTCACCATGGAAGAAGAAATGGAAAGCCAACTTCCCTTTTGGACATGCTGGTTACCAGAACAGTGGGAGGCAAATTACAAACATCAGTTTACAGAAAAGCGGCACCCACCGGACCAAATCCTGAATTTCAACAGCAATCGCTTTAACTGTCACAAAATAACCTGTTTCTTAGGATACAATCGCACTGCAATACTGCGGAGACGAAACGGAAGGAAGAAGAACATCCGTTTATGTTTTACAACCTTAAAAATCCCATAGTATGATCAGAAGTCAGGGTAAGCGAACATATGTTTTCGATAATACATCTTCAGACTTATGCAATTATATGCAAATCAAAATGTGCAGACAGACATTACAAGTCGTTATTACTAGAGCGAGTTAATTGGGTGCTGACAGCGCTGTCTGTTAAGTCACGACAACCGACCGCGTGTGACCTCGTGGGTCAGAGGTCACCGGCCGCTTTGGCCAGGTTAGTCCCAAGCCTTTAATTAGCTTCTTTTGAACACATAGCTCCCGTTCATACAGCCGGATCGCAATTGCTTCAGCGGCTTCTTGTAGTCGCTTTCGGACAAAGTTCGAGCCTTTCTGTGGGGCGTGATGGATAATTTTGTACGAATCAATGGACTTCGTGGCGTGCCGTGTATCGGCTAGGTGCGCGGCTACTGAAGAGTTCGCTGTATTTCCGTTTCCAGTTCTAAGCGCGACTGCGTGTTCCTTCATTCTCTCAGATAGACGCCGTGTCGTACGACCAAGGTATTCCGCTCCATAGGAACATAAAAATGAGTAGATACACTTTGAGTTGGTATGAACAGGCATCTTATCCCATGAGTTTCGTCTCACCATCGGAATGCTAGTGAACTGGATTTGCATCTGCGCTGCTGGATAGGTGCGTCTGAGTGCAAACGAAAGACGACGAGATAGAAGTTCCGTCGCAACCTCACCCTTGTGTGGCAGCTGTAGGAAGATTGACTTACGTTATGCTATCAAAACTACAGGCTTTTTCTTCTTATGTTCCATGTTGGCTCTGATAAAGCTTTTCGGATAGCCATTCTCCCTTAGCACTAAGCGAATGCACTCCAATTCTTCCGCAAGCGTGTCATTCGGGCAGATACGTTCAGCTCGACTCACTAGGGTATTTATCAAGTTCCGTTTAAGCCTAAGTGTCACAAAGCTGTAGAAGTTTGTGTACTGCCCATTCCACGTACTCTTCCTATAGACGCAGCGCTTTAGCGCACCCCATCCAGTCTTTTCATGGCAACATCGGGGAAATGAAAGCGACTGTTTCTCTCAACTTCGCAGGTGAACTTTATTGCTGGATTGCCTTGGTTGAACGTGTTTGTTAGTTCCTCGATACTTCGAGACGACTGAAGCAAGACCAAAATATTGTCTACGTAACGGCAATATAAACCGGGACTTGAGATTGTTGGCTTTAACTTTCCCTTTTCCAGCATGCCCATGAAGACGTGGGCGAGGGACAGACCCAGTGGGGAACCCATCTCACTACCGGTATAATCCGCCATTGGATAGAAACTGAACATTGAACGTACATCTGAGCAATAGTTCCTTGGGTATGCCAACAGGAATGTGGTTTGCATCAACATGCTCACAGATGTAGTTTATAGTCTCAACTAATGGTACGTTGGTGAAGAGTGCAGTAACCTCGAGGGAGCACATGGTTAGATTGGAGACATTTACATCACGTACGGTATCCACAAACTCAAAACTGTCCTCCACACTGTGCACAACAATTCGCTCTCGAATAGGTGTAAGGATCAAAACCAGCCACCGAGCAATCGAGTGATACGGGGGTTTTTCATATCCAAGACGGGATGAAGGGGGACGTTAGGCTTGTGAGTTTTTTATAGCCCATAAAGCTTTGGAATAAACGTTCCTACCGGCCGAAGTTGTTCATAAGTGGCTTCGTTCATGTAACCATCGTTACGAAGCTTTTTAAGACAGTTGCAAAGTTGAGTTTCAATCTGTTTTGTTTTGTCTTTCTCACTTATGGCCCTCAACAACTCGTTTATATCTCGTTCACAACGGCCACCTGTTGTGTGCCCGGTTCACCCAGCCGAGTCAACAGAAAGAACTCGCACTGACTCTGCACACAAACGCCTTATTCACAACTCTGAGGCAAAGAACGACTAGTTGGGTGTTTAAAAACACTCGGTCGATCGCATGATCGACCACACTGCTGCAGGCGATTGCCCTCGACCCTGTTTCAGTCACCATCACATCCTTTCCTTTTTCTTTTTTCGCAAATTTTGTGTTGCATTTGCCATATCCTCGTCCGTTGCGGGCGAGCTTCCGGTCTAAAGGAATAACAGTCGTAGTAAGGTTAGGCTGCACTAGAACGTTAGCTGCTGTCATCAGCTTCCTTCGCCTCCGACTGAAGAAATGCTGAATGAAATTTGGCCTGATCTCGATAGACCGCTTTTCTTCCTTCCAGTAGCATCAGGCGAGGATCCTCATTCGTCTCTTTGACACTATAAATCGTTTCTTTATTTTATTTCAGTTTTTATGATAATACTTCCTTTCGGCTGCAGTCTCCGTCCCTTCGACCCTTTGAAGCGACAGTGTGTTGTACTGCACCCTATTTCGATGCACATTTCCGAGGGTAGCATGCTGTCAGTGGTTCTTAGATCGCACTGTGATGCTGATCGTTGTTGTGTCAACGACGTT